CCTATCAATCTATGGAGGGTGGGAAAAAAAGTGGGGGGACTTCTACTACCAGTTTTGCCTGCTGGCTTTATTTAGGAGATTTGTTACCAGATTTATGAAGATTAGAGAGAATGAGGAATAGAGAGGGAGAGATTGGGAACAGAGAAAAGAGGACACTTCATCTTCATTGTCCTCCATCTTTCCCCATTGGTCATATAAAATGTGGTCATCAAGCTGAACCATGACACATCTCCACAACAGGCTGTTTAGAAACAGGGAATCTTCCCAAGAGAAACACCAGACAGAATTTTTTGACAACAAAAGGAACAATTATAGAAAGAGTTGGTTGTTCTGTTGTTTTGTTTTTTTATGTCACACTTACCCGATGCATAGATATTTGAAAAATTAGCCACAAGGATCTCAGCGTTAGTGTCCTTTTCCTTCTCTTCACATTCTCCCTGAAAGCTAGAGATATGTTTCTCTCTCAGCTGGGAAGGTTCAAGATGGACCCGTTCATCTGGGAAAATGCCACCAGATTGAAAAAAGAAAATGGTTTTAAATGATTATTTGCAATGTAGGAATTTCCAGACCAGATCAGACGATAGTCCATCCACTAGTCCAGTATTCAGTCTGTGACAGTTGCCAGAGTCACAGTTCCAGGGTAACTGCACCTGTACCCCACTCCAAGGTCCACTCAAGGAGTGTCTAGTCAGTCATCATCAGCCCAGTAGGGGCCCTAGTAGGCCAAAGTCTTTCCAACTCTTCTGCAAGGCCTAGGGCCTCCTATTTGACAGAATATCCTGTCTATTTACTGGATCAGAAAGAAGACCCTAAGTAAGTTTAAATGCAGCCTTTTTGTATCATAAGCGCTTTCTTTGTCTGTTGATCTCTGGAAAACCCAGTTTGAACAAGTATACACGAGCCTTCCTAGGGGGTGGTACTTCTTTGAAGAATTAGCAAATTGAGTAATTCACCTTAATCCCCCTCACCCTCCCACACACTGTTTTTGGTTCCTGCCAGAATTGTGATAACCCTTCCTCACCCCAGAGTTACATACAATGCCTGGCCCACAATGATACATAAACCATTCATAAACTTGTATTGGCTTGCAATATCTGGCACAGCCATTACCAGGTGCTTCAGAGGAAAATACAAGAAGTCCAGAGAGGAAGTTTCCTCCTACAATAATCTCCATCAAATAGTGACTGGATTATTCTCTGAAACATTTATCCCGTATATTTTATGCTATCTAATAAAACTGGATTTTCTCGTTATCCTTATAAATGTCTAATCCTTTTCTGAACCCCACTAAGTCCTTGGGTTCAATAATATCTGATGACAAGGAGTTCCATGGGCCCCTTTACAAGTCTCTTTAAATCCCTCTTTCCACCATGCCCCTGTGTGATTTATCTGTGCCCCTATGTATATATTGTTCTGCCTATCTACTGTCAAGGATGGCACATTAACATAGAGCTTTACTCTTTCTAATACATATAGAATAGAGGAGGACACCCTTCCAAATCACCCTGGCTGCTTATCTTTTGGGGCCAACTTTGATACAATGGGATGGCTTGTTGGGATAATGTGCTAATCAACATGAGAAATGATCAAAATGTGGCCTCTAGCTATTTACCTACTATTTTTTTAAACATTTAACAAACATTTAACTTCCTTTGACAAACGGTTCATACAGCCCTTCAAACAATTACTTCTGGTCACCATAATTTCAAATTCTGACAGATGCCTACCTAACATATTTCCCATATTCCTGAGGTTTTCCTAAAGGAATCTCTAAAAGGCATTTCCAAAGTATCTAAATCCTTACGATGCATCCCACAGGAAAGATTCATATCAGGAGATCTGCCAGTGCAAGCCAAACAAAATAGTTGACTTCTGAAGGAATTTGCCTGGGGGAAAAAAAGGAGCCCACACGATTTAACCGGTTCTCTGACTATAAAGCTAACTTTTCTTTTGACTTCTGCCTGCACACACTCTGGAAAGAATCTGGACTTGGAGATGGATTTTAAAATCTGTTTGCCAATTAAGTGTGTCACAAGAGTTACTTTGACACATTTAACATCTTACTCAGGTAAATTGCCTCCACAGCTTGACAACTTTGGGTGGACATGGTTGTAGCATAAGTAACAATTGTCACTGGACTAAGGCACTTATTTAATTTTTTTTAAAGTACAAAAGCTAAATCCTAGACTCTGTTTCATTATCACATTGAGCTAATGCTTATAACAGCTATCCAAAGAGGCAATTAAATTAGAACAAACCTTATATTCATCAGATAGCCATCTGTTTAGTTTAATAAAAGGAGGTGCTTTCCTATTTTGGTTGTTGGATGGAAATGACTGATTTACCTAGGCTTTTATTAAATTAATTTTCTTTTATGTGATTTTGTGTTAATAATTGGGGAGAGCACAAAATACAAGGATCCATGTTTTGGGGGTTTTTTAAGATGGAAATAATTGAAGCAAATACACCTTCTTTTCTCTCATTGCCCTAGTGCAGTATGGTAGAGGCACAACGGGCACCACAGCTCTTGCTCACAGATGTTGGATCTCCTTTGCTCTCAGTGTTCTCTGCTTATGTGTTTCAAACAACAACATTAATACTAATAATCAGACATTTGCTTAAGCAGAACAGCAAAATCAAGGCAAGAAATACAACTTTGAAATGCTGTTGTTTACATGCAAAAAGAGGTCAACAGGTGTAGTCCTTGAAACCCATACACATGGTGTCCCTAAAATGGATATGGGAATTTCCTCCACTCACAAAGGCAATACAGACTGTCCATTGGGACTACAGGGAACAAATTAATATGAGCTGGACTGCACATAGTCACTGACTGGACAATCATCAGACAGTAATTTACAGTCATGCTGGAGGGAATTTTTAATTCTTGTTTTTTCTTTTCAGTTCATAAGCAGACTCTCGTTACTATTTTAATTCCGTGTTTCGTAATTAAACAAAGAAATTTACTTGCATCAAATACAGTTATAAGACTTGATATTTGAACAACAGCTTCTAATTTTGCAGTGCTGTTTTGCAGGCACAAATAACCGTCACATGTCTAACTGCACTATTGTGCCTAAAATTAGATAATACCAGGTAAACAGCTAACAATTTAAGTGTTCAAAATGCACCTGCAAAACTGAAGGCTGAGATGAGGCCTCTATTAAGGTTGTGCCCAATACTGTACTCCTTACTCCGTTACTACCAATGCCTTATGATGTCAAAGGGGGTTTTACCTGAGTGAAGACTCATAAAATATAAACCTACCTGTATTTTGTTGAGTATTTTTTCACTTAAACCACAGCCTAAAGCCTAAAAGTAGCAGACATAATTTTACTTGTATAATTGACTGCTAAGTAACTATGCAGTGTTATTCTAGCCACGTCAATCCCAGGATATTAGTGAGACACGGTCGGTGAGGTAATATCTTTTATTGGACCAACTTCTGTTGGTGTGAGAGACAAGCTTTTGAGCTTACACAGAGCTCTTCAGGTCTGGAAAACTTACTTGGAGTGCCATAGATAAATACAAGCTGGAATAGATAGTTTAGCATAAGTAATTATGCTTCACATTTCAAGGTGAAGTTGGCATAATTAAACCACTCCCAACAAGCAGCGGTAGCTATATCAGCGAGAGAGCATGTTCCGCCAACATAGAGCTCTCCACACCAGCACTTCTGTTTGTGAAGCTTATGTCAGTCAGGGGTGTGTTTTTTTCACATCCCTGACCGACAAATGTTTTACCAACAAAAGTGCTGGTGTAGACATAGCCTCCGTTTCCAAGACCTGAAGTCTCAAAAGCCTCTCTCTCTTGCCAACTGAAGCTGTTCCAATGAAACATATTACCTCACCCACCTTGTCTTGCTAAGTAACTACTTTTCCAGTGGGTGTCTAACAACGTGCCAATTTTACTTATGATGGAAATGCACTAACTGTTCTAGTTAAACTACAATAAGTATTAGCAATTATATAACTTCAATATCTGTAGTATTCCCTTGATAATTCCTATGCGTACAATATTTTAGGTGATACCAGGACTCCAATAAGTGCAGAATTTGCAGTGTTCAAACAGCAAATATTAGACATAATGAGAAAACAGCGTGTATATTTTCAGTCTGAATAACTGTTTCAACACTGCTAAAATCAAATCTTCATTTTAACTTAATTGAATAATATAACACCCTCTTGTTTTTCTGTTTATATTAATGTAGAATGATAAAAGGCCACTGTGTTCTGTTACTGAATCCTCCACAGGACTCAACTGTTCTCTCTAATGAATAAGAAAATATTAATGGGATTCCATTAGCTTTAAACTATGACTGTTCTCTTGATACAAGTCAAAGCAAAGCAGTTCAAAAGTCTGATCCATTCGCTTTTCTGTGTTTAACCAAATATCTCTCCATTGTTTATACCAGTACTGGGGAAAGGACTGTCTTTTTGTTTTGGTAATAGAGGATTAAGCTTTATATATTCTGTATGTATTTTGAGAAGATAGCTTTCTTCTTATACCCATTTTATATCAATGCAACTATCCTGAGTTCACAGAAGCTACTCCCAATTTGAACTGGTGCAAATGACACCAGAATCAGTTGCAGCAACTTTGACTCTGAATTTACGGGATATTTTCTCAGTACATATTTTAAATGTGATCATTAGTGTGGAATGGGCTGCTGTAGGGCATGATCTTCAGAATCACTCCTGATTTTTTCTTTTAAATATGATTAACAGCTAGACAACTAAAGAGAATGAATGTCAGGAGAGAAAGCAAAGATGCAGAGTATAAGCAGAGACTTAATGCTGATTTGTTCTCTTCTATAAGCAGTAAAGTTTAACATCCTAATGAACTGAACGCTACTTTCGGAAAGAGTGGTGGAAATTGTTTGGTTTTACACTATTTTGCCTCAACATACCAAGCACGTAATAGCTTTACAAAAAACACCTCTCATTTTTACTATCCTTTCTTCAGACACAAAGACACTGCTAGTTACCAGCTTCCCCCTTCTCCCCATTTTTTTGGCATGAACAAGTAATATATCAAACTCCATCACCAAAATCATCCCTCTTCTACATTCTCTTCTTCCTCATCATTTCATTATGTCATGTCAGACAGCTATAAATCAGACAATTAAAGGCATGATTCTAACTCTCTGAAGTCAGCTGGAGTCTTAACGTTGATCTTTAAGGGGTATGAAACAGACCCTTATTTTTATATTCTTTCCCAGGGAAGGCTATGCAGGGATAGTTCCATATCCCTGTATATAGTTAAAGTCATATCAAAGACCATCTCACTTTTTAAAATTGGTTACATAAACAAACTTTATTCTGATTTTTAAAATTTATATATATCATTTCATATGAAGCCTTTCAGTGAAGAGATTATTTAATGTCATCTTTGAACTTACTTGTCTTGTTAGCACCTGTCCTGAAATCCATGTCTATGCTTCTCTGAAGAACAGCACAGCACAGGAAAATGCCCTGAGTAATAAAAAGTACAATTTCGCAAAAAAACAACAAAAAAATAAAACAAAAGCTTGTGTTCATCAAGCCTATGTGCAGCTGAACTGATTTGTCACAGATACAGATTTATCTAGTGTTTATATTCTTTCTTTCTATTGCTCAGAGTTTCTGGGCGTTCCTACTAGTTAAACTAAATGGGAGGGGAGGTATGATTTTTTTCTCTCTCTCTTTTTTAAGTGGCTAGCACCGGTTTGTTTTTAAAGCAATAACCACCTTTTTCAAGGCTTCCTTAGAAACCTCTAATATAATTAAAGTAGTTTGTATGCCTACCAAAATTTCCCTTTAACATTTTCAACTACTTTGTGTATCTGTGGTCCAATCTTGAAAGGTGCTAAGTACCCTTAGCTTCCATTGACTTCAATAGGAATCAAGGGTGCTCAGGAACTTGTAGGATCAATTCCTTGCTCTGCTGGACTTATGCGACTCTCTCATTGATTTTGCTGTGTGTGGGGGAAGAGAAACAGAAGCAATGTGTGTGCAGTCCAGTATTAGTGCTGCCGTTGAAGATGGAATCTTTTTTTTTTCACCTGAAAATGCTAACCTGTTACTCAGATGTGACCCTTCTCAACCATTTGCACTTCCTCCTTGTGGTTTCCTCTTTCTTCAACTCAAAAGCTTAGAACATGAGTTTCTCTTTTAAAATGGAGCAGAGAAAGACAGGACTTACTATTCATCTTATATGAAAATGCTCTTGATGCTTTGAAAAGCCTTTAATCTGACATAATTGAGGGCTTAAATCTTGCATTAATCTAGTCAGCCCCACCCCATTCTACTTACCCGCAGGTTTGTGAAACTGTGGTGAAACTGTCTCTCCTTAGTCTTCTCTCTGGCTAGCCACTTTCTCTTCTTGCCAGGATAGAACTTCTCTGAGGACAAGCTGCCTGCTTAATTGGGAATGGGGGATGTTTTTTGTAGGGTATAACTCTGCATGCTGGTAGAGATTTGTACCACAATGAGTCCTGCAGCAGAGGGACTCTATCATCAGGTGGTGGAGGTAAATGGGTCTCCAAGTTTGGAGGCTCCAAAAATGACAACAGATTTGATGCAGAGGGAGAAGAGTTGATGCATGCTAAGGCTGCAGAACCAAAGTCTCTTCCCCTGACTTTCTGCTTTATTGGAAACTGAGACTCAACTCCTGGTAGGTGGAGCCTATGTTGAGACCACTAACTGAACGGTTGCAGGCAGGCCGTTTAAATAATAAAACAAAAAACTTTTTTAGAAATGAAAAATCCTGGAGTTGTCCATCCCAGAGCAGATCCCATCTACTATCTCTCATGATTCTACATGTGACTCTCTTGTCATTGTCATGGTGGATTGCCCAGGCAATTGTGGATATTAGTAATGTGCAGGGCCAGCTCCAGGCACCAGCTGAGCAAGCTGGTGCTTGGGGCGGCAGATTGTTCGAGGTGGCATTCTGCCCAATCCTAGGACGGCACGGCCGCTTTTTTGTTGTTGTTGTTGTTCCGCTCCAGCTGCCTTGTCGGGGGCGGCGGCACGGAGAACTAGAGCGCCCTGCAGGGCAGTCCTCTTCCTTCCCTCCCTGCCGACCGAAGCCCTCGCGGCAGGCGGCAGAAGGCAGCGCAGCGGGAGGGGCCGCGTGGCAGCGCCCCTGCTGTAGCCCTGGCCGCCCCCTTCTGTCTCTCTCCCACCCGCTCCCTTCCCCCCCCTCCAGCCGGTCCCCCTGCACCCGCGCTCCGGCCGCCCCGTTTTTTTTTGCTTGGGGCAGCCAAAAGGCCAGAGCCAGCCCTGGTAATGTACCGGGCCCTACTAAATTCATGGCCATGAAAAACATGTCACGGACCGGGAAATTTGGTCTTCTCCCGTGAAATCTCGTCTTTTGTGCGTTTTTATCCTATACTATACAATTTCATGGGGGCGATCAATGTTTTTGAAATTGGGGGTCCTGATCCAAAAGGAATTTGAAAGGGGGGTTGCAAGGTTATTTTAGGGGGGGTCAAAGTATTGCCATCCTTACTTCTGTGTTGCCATCAGAGCTGGGCGGCCGGCCAACAGTCATCGCTCTCTGCCAGGTGCCCAGATCTGAAGGCAGTGCCCCGCCAGCATCAGTGCTGACGTAAGGGTGGCAATACCATACCATGCCACCCTTACTTCTGAGCTGCTGCCTTCAGAGATGGGCAGCTGGAGAGTGGCAGATGCTGACCAAGGGCCCAGTTCTGAAGGCAGCAGCGCAGAAGTAAAAGTGGCCATACCATGCCATGCCATCCTTACTTCTGCACTGCTGCTGGTGGTGGCTCTGCCGTCAGAGCTGGGCTCCCGGCCAGCAGCCACCACTCTCCAGCCTCCCAGCTCTGAAGGCAGAGCCACCGCCAGCAACAGTGTAACCATACCACAACCCTCCATACCATAACCTTGCGACCCCTCCCCCAACTCCTTTTTGGGTCAGGACCCCTACAATTACAACACCATGAAATTTCAGATTTTAATATCTGAAATCATGAAATTTATGACTGTGAAATTGACCAAAATGGACCATGAATTTGGTAGGGCCTACTAATGTATGATGATAGACTTCTTCAGTTATTACCTTATGAATGCTTGTTCCAATACTGGTGAGCGAGACTCAAGGACTGCCCATGAATGGCCAGGGCAGTCTCATTACTGGCTTTATTTAACTCGATTCTGTTGAGCCTGTACACCTGCTGTACTTGCTTATATCAGCTATATGTAAGAATATAACAAGTGGGATTAAGGGCGTTTCATATACTCCATTTTCTAAGTTCGGCTGGCAGGCAGCTATTTCTATTGCCTCAAACGGACATCCACTAATTCACAGGAAGCTGCTAGACATTTTAGTTCAGTATAATGGTATACCACATTTTTTCATTGTTGCTGAAATATCTTCCACAGACAATATAATGGTCAAAGTTCATATTTATTAGGTTTGATGTCTTTGAGAGGCGCTTTTTTTCTGTCATAGTCTCTGTTGTTTCCTGTATTGGGCAGTGTCTTTAACACAGTGGAACCTCAGAGTTATGAACACCAGATTTATGAACTGACCAGACAACCACACACCACATTTGGAACTGGAAGTACGCAATCAGGCAGCAGTAAAAACAAACAAACAAACAAACCAATAAAAAGGCAAATGCAGTACTGTGTTAAAAGTATTGTGTTAAACAAAAACTATTAGAAAAATAAAGGGAAAGTTTTTTTTAAAAATTGTTTTGTTCTGAATTATCAACATTTCAGATTTACGAACCACCTCCATTCCTGAGGCGTTCATGACTCTGAGGTTCTACTGTATGTAGTATCTTTTTCCAGAAAAGTATAAAAGGATAGCATGCCCTTGTGGAAGGGTTCATTTTATTTCATCATTATAGATAACACTGGTCTACAATTTTTGAGAAGTCGTCTGCTTCAA